CTAGTTTCCTCTTTGCTCACTCATCAGAGAAAAAAAAAAATATCTAAAGGCATTTGGGGCAAAAAAATGTGAAAGAATTATAAACAGAAACCTGTTTTGATCGTCTTTTCCATTTTTCTGTTTGAATAAAGTATTTTATTTAATCTTGTTTTATTATTTTTGGGTGTATCTCTTTTCCGTTATACAGATGTTGTGAATCACATGACCGCTCGTGCTGCCTTTACTGTCTCACATAAATGTCCGTAAAATAGAGTTTTCCATGAAAACTCACTGAATTTAGCGACAAATTAAGTAGAGTGGATTTTATACAGATGGATTGATCATTTATTCTCGTTTTGTCTATTTTATCTTCGTAGTTTACCAATAAATGTTGGATAAGTTGCTTCCACATAGATTTAAGCTTTTGTGTTAATCATATTTCCGGTGGTCATTGAATGCATCATTGGTTTATTAGAGCAGGACTGCAGCTTGGAGCAGATCAGAGACAGACTGAAATGGTCTGCATGTTTGGATCTTTTTGATGTTCGCTGGAGAGGAAAACATCTGATGATCAAAGAGATGGAAGCGCTTTAATTCCGCTGTCAGCAAAAAACAAAAACCTTCAACACGGTCCTGGAAAAAAGGACAAAGTTTACGACAGAGGCTATAAAGTTTAAAACGTTTTCCAGAAGTTTCCGAGGAGAAAGATAGTTTGGAAAAGTCTTGGAGCAGTTTTGTTGGGAGTTTTCAGAGATGTCTGGAGGAGCGGAGAAAAGCGAAAACATTCCTGACGCGTCTGCAGGAAAAGGAATCCCGAACGGAGGAAACTCTGCAAAGACCCAGGAGGTGAGAGCAGGAAGACAAACAAGCTGCTCGAAAACTCCTGGACTCCTGAAGCAGGGGAGCAGCTGATGGAGAATCTGGATAAGAAAAAATCAAAATCTAGATAAGTCCATTTTTCTTAAAATAAGTGCATTTCTTCTCGAATTGAGAAGGTAACAGAGACATTTTGCCAATAGAACAAGACAATTTACATTTAAAATAAGAAAACACAGTTGCATTGTCTTATTTCAAATGCATTTTATCTAATTATCCTATTTTAAGAGTTTAAATACTCATTGCATTGGCAAATCATCTCATTTACCTGCTCAAATTAAGGGTAAATACACTTAATTTAAGAATTTCTTACTTATTTTTTCTAGATTGTTTTTCCAGTGCGAAAAAAGCCTTTCTGATCGTTGAAAATGATAAATGGATATTTTTTATCTCACCTGGACAGGATAATACAGGCTAATGCGTCTAAAAGTCATTATTCATATTAAGTTATATGTCCCATGCATCCTTTGCTTCTTTTGTCTCCATAGCAGGGCACAGAAATGAGTTAAAATGTATTTGTGTGTGTGTGTACCTGTCTAGCCATCAGAGTGAGGACCAACTTTCCAATTTCACCATCAGAGTGAGGACCAGTTGTTGCAAAGTGAGGACATTTTGCTGGTCCTCACAAGCTGTTTTGCTAATGGTTAGGTTTAGGGCTAAGGTGTCAATTGGTTAGGGTTATGGTGAGGTATGCATTGGTAATGGTTGGGATTAGTTTTAGGGTTAGGGCATAGAAAGGGTTGAAAATGACAAGTCTATGGGAGTCAACACATGGTTCTCACTACATATAGCAGAACGTGTGTGTGCACATGTTTGTATGTGTGTGTGTATGTATATATATACAGAGATGGGAAGTAACGAAGTACAAATACTTTGTTACTGTACTCAAGTAGATTTTTCTGATATTTTTACTTTACTTTACTACTTATTTCTATGGCGACTTTTTACTTCTACTCCTTACATTTTTACACAAATATCTGTACTTTCTACTCCTTACATTTTAA